ACTTATATGATCCTACTTTAATCGGATTAGATAATTTAAATTTTTTTAACACCCAAACACTTCCACAAAATTAAAAAAGAGTAGCAATGCTATAACTATATATATCCACATGACCACATATATCTTGAAAATGAACGAAGAAAACCACACAAACAAAAACCATATTAATTACCCACACACACCCACTATTTTCAAAACTACCATTCTCCATCTCCATCTATAACATATTCACATACCAAATTAAGTTGTTGGAGTTTTCCCTCACCAACTACACCATTGATCAACCCGTTTTTTTCCTTTGTACTTAAATTGCATAACATTCATTGAAATGAGGACTCACATTGGCCCAACAAAAAAAAGAATAATGTACTGGCCTTGTAGTTAGTTAATAACGAGATCATATCATTATAAACAAACTAAGTAAAGATTAATAATTCTTAAGAATGTACTAAATTCCCCTAACTTCCACTATAAACTTGTTAGTTGTTTATTCCTGACCCTAAGAGATTTTCAAAATTAATCATCTATTTCATAAATTTTTAAAAAATATTTAAATAAAACTTATGGCAAATGTAATAATCCATGTTTATAGATTTTAACTCAAAATGAATCTAACTTATTTATAGTAAGAAAATAAATAAAAATAAATATTTTAATATTTAACTACGTGCATTGCACGTGCACGGGGACTAGTTTAATAAATAGTATGTGTTAAAATATTCTAAAATTAGCATGTGAGTGTTGCAAAAGAGTTTTTGAGAAAAATTCTTATGTTTGCATAACCGAAAGTACTAAAGTACAACCTCTAGAAAGTTTAATGATATATAAGGAGAGACATTTACAACTGAGAGTATTTATATGTAACATTGGGTAAATAGTAGGCTATTTAAGTGCAATTCATTCTAATAATCAAAGTGTTTGAACTTTATATAAGAGCGTGGTCACTTTGACTGGTACAATAGGAAATTGTGTTTACACCCTGTTGATTGGGTAGTTTATCTTTCACATGCTTCACTTTGTGATCTTATAAGTCCCTTTGGCATTTTTGGCAAATAGATTATTTTCTCTATAGGCCACCAAAAAAATAAGCCATAAGATTTGATCAAACAAAAGACTAATATACCCCTCACTATTTCACAAAATTCTAAGCATCATTTAATCTCTTTTTAACTCCGTTAAATACTTTTGGTCATTTTGACAATAATAATGACTTATAAGCTATTCACTTGCCAAACACTTGACTGGTGAAAATAAATTATAATCCACTAAATTTAACAAAAACTTCTACCTATGATCTATTTGTGGATTATAAGCCAAGTCAATTCTAATCCAAAATTGCCACACATGTACTTAAAGTCTCACTGTTCACAAGTTAAAGTTAATTAAACTGAGACTAAGGAAATACATTAGTAGTCAGTACTAGAAAAAATGATGAGAGGTTGTTGTGTTTGTCTCTGTTGTGCGTGGCGGAAGCCTCGAAGCGACACGAACAAGAACAAGAGATAAATCACAACTAATAATCCAAACACAATACCACAGCAAGATAACGAGTTTAACGTGATTCGGCAAGGAGGGAGGAGTTCTTACTATTAGAAATCAAGAGAATATGAATAGAGTTACAAATCTCACTGATCAAACACTAAAACAAAGCTCTAGATCTCTCATAAATCTCCCACAATTGGATGCAGCAACCCTCTTCCAAAAAACTGCTCAAAAAAGTCATTGCTTAACCCTAACTAATCGGGATTAGAGTAATATATAAGCTCCAAAACGAACCGGGTCAAATAACTGACCCAACTGCAAACCCGCTACGTGGTCGACCGTGGTGGTCGACCGTGCATGTATCGCAATCAACCGCGACGGTCAACCGGACACCCCCGACAGAGAATAAATCGATTACAGAAAACCCACGGACCGCCTCAACCGACTGCCACAGTCGACCGCCTTCAGCTCCAGAGCCTCCTGCTCTCCTGTGTATGTTCGCGGTCGACCGCCGCTGCCTCGCAATCGACCGCCGGTCTGCCTGGCTAATTCTTGAACTTCTCTCGCCACTTCTTCAGTCTCTTCCTCTAACAAAATTTCCTAAAGATTAACAGACAATGTCTCTCACTTTCTTTAATCAGTTTAATTAGCTTGTTCAGGTTTTGACAAGTGTTTACTTGGCAAAGTTCTTGCACCTTTTCAGAAATTGGTAGAAACCTTGTATTTAATTAAGCATTGTGATATCTAGAGCTTAACCTGCAGATGATATCAATGTTGGAAACTGATGCGTGTGGTTTTAGTCACATGAATCCAATAGGAAAATGCCACCTAGTTTTTGGATGTACAAAACTAATACATCGCTAGCTTGTAGCATATTGGGAAAATTTTTAAGGCTATATATCCCATTTGTCCGTTGATGTTGGTTGATTGACTCCATGAAAATATAATCTAAAAATTTGTCCGTTGATAACAGGTACGTAAGGAACTCGACTTCCATCTAGAAAGTTGTCTGTTCACTAGTAGAAAAACGATCAACCTAGACGGAAATTTCCGTCTAGGTTGATTGCAATTCCGTCTAGATTAGTTCATCTAGACGGAATTCCGTCTAGTTTGATTAGTTTATTTTGCGTCCGTCTAGATTGCTTCAAACTAGACGGAATTCCGTCTAGATTGATCAATCTAGACGGAAGTCAACCTAGACAGAATAAAGAATTCCGTCTACCATCCACTTCAAAATATACATCAATCAGTTCCGTCTAAAACACATCCAACAACATATATACTAACAATGCCAGTGACTAAGATATGATACACGACATGAATAAATGTAGTGTTATAACAAATAAAACTGTTTATTGCATTAAAAATTAAAAACCTCATCCATCGTCGTCGGCGGGGGTATCTCTATCCCGATTACGAGAACGGGTGCTGCTCCCTCTAATATCTCCACTCTGAATGTTTAATTGAATAATCATTATGTGGTGTTTGATAACATATTAGATAAAAATGAATTTATAAATATAAGAAAAAATAAGGTACCTGAGCACTACTCTGTCTAGCGCCGGAATTATCGCCAATCGAGCTAATGATCCGTATGATACCATCATACGCGCTATAAGGAATAGCACCGCCTAAATATTATATAACATACCCCATGAGATCGTCCATCGAGTTCGCCGTCAGCGCAACTCTAGTCATCTCATTAGTCACCTGAATATGCAGCTCCGGGTCAATTTTGTCAATCAGATACGCAGAGATACGTGCGACAAATGGCATAGCCTGGAAACTGCTTGTGGCTGCTCTCGTCGATGTAGATGGTGTGGAGGATGCTGTGGACGATCTGATGCTTATACCAGGTGAAGCTCCGACACCATGTAGAGGATATCTTCCTCTCCTATTATTAGGGAGAAATAAATATTAAACTTTGCTCTCAAATTCAATAATGGTAAACAAATATAAATAGTATGTAGTATTCAAATTGATTCGATTTTTCACTATCCTTACCTATTATGACCCATCAGGTTCTGTGTGAGATTGATATTCTCCTCTGCAGAAAGCATGTGAGGGTCTGGCTCGGTTTGTTCCTCCTCCTGTGAAATGTAGACAGATGCAGCCTCCTTGGATGCGTTCTCAAATCCCTCCTAAAGCACAAATTTATAGTTAATTCAAGATAATGACCATATTATTTGTGTTCTCGTTTCCTCGTAATGTTAACAAAATAGAATTAATAATACTACTCAAGATATGTATAAATCTCACCACTAACTCGAGATTTTTTGTGATCTTATCCCGATTCCTCTCATCACCCCTATATTGTTCACGAAAAGTACCATATGCCGCTCTGGCCCTCAAGTGTATCGGCATTAATGATTTCCCCTGTCATATTATAAATTATGAGATTTCATAATCATACTAAACATTAAGATCTTTTAAATCTTTAAATGACATATACCGTATCTTGACAATAAACATCCTCCAGATTGGCGTAGGAGTGTGAGCCCAAGTGATGGTCATGCAGCTTCTTTCTTCTATTTTCTGACCCCTTCGTGGATTTATTCTTTAAAAAAAAATCTATAAATATAAAATAAAATAATATCTTAAAATTATAAACTAAATTTCATGAAACTAACCTTGGCGGCATCGCTGTCCCAATACATGAGGAGAGCCGTGAAATGAATCTCGTCAACTCGGTCATCGAGGTTTAAAAACCTCTGCCAGTCCTCCTCATACCTGTCATAGGTTTCATGTTTGATCTCATGCCTCCATTGTTTGAGGACTGCTTCAACCTTGACATTAAACACATAATTCCAAGCCCCCTCAAAGTCCTCAAGGCAGAAGCAGTCCTGTAGATTTACATACACATTTAGTAAGGATAATTTAATATCAATTACTAATTATTAATAAATGAAAATCTAAAACAATATGCACTTACCATAAGCGCAGTCCATATCGCCTCGTATGCGGTCCATGGTAATTCTCGAAAATGAAAATAAGGGTTGATAATGGTCGCTCTACGCACGAGAACCCCAATATATGCATTCAATCGGGTCGACCAAGGACCAACGGGCAAATTAGAACTATTCCACCTAATAATGCCCCTCATTCCTCTTGGCGGTTGTTTAGAATCAGGCTTACCTCCGCCACGTCGTCCCTCTATGCGATCCTTCTTAGCACCTACAATAATGACAACATGATAATATATCATATAATATACAAATGTGAAAATTAAAAGTATTTATATAATTTACCATTCGCTATCTCTCTTTCTTTTGCTGCGAGTGCATCAGCTTTCCTAGTCTCCAACCTCTATGCGATCCTTCTTAGCACCTACAATAATGACAACATGATAATATATCATATAATATACAAATGTGAAAATTAAAAGTATTTATATAATTTACCATTCGCTATCTCTCTTTCTTTTGCTGCGAGTGCAACAGCTTTCCTAGTCTCCAACATAGGAAGCATTTCCTGATACCTTCTCGCAGCACGTGGGTGGTACTTCCTTGATTCAGCCTTGGACTTATGAGAGTCCGGAGGTAAAGGTAAACTGAGAAAGTCCTGGGTCTTTGGCCGCAAGTCAGTATGGAATGTATATGATGGATATGTCGGGGTCCAAGTAGCACCTACATAAGAAAGAAGAATCATTAATATTAAATTTTAATTGAACATTATCAATTATTAAATATTTAATACCTGCGTCGGGGGATGGTTCTGGTGCTGCGTCGGGGGATGGTTCTGGTGCTGCATCAGAGGGGCCGGGTGATGAATATCCAGCATCTACAACAAATGAACACTATGAGCTAGATAACTAAAAATTTATAAAACATGTTAAAGTATTAATTAATTTTTATACCTGCATCCGGAGATGGTAGTGGATCATCAGCACCACTACCTGGGGTGATACTCCGTGATCGATCACCCTCCGGTTCAAAGAGCCTCCTCATCCTCCTCCTCATCTGCAAATATAATAAAGACAATCGTTAAAAAAAATTGTATACATGCTCATGAGATATGTTGTTATGAAATGCATTATTGTTTTTATTATGATAAGATAAAAATCGATAATGTGGTGTAACATATCAGGTTCATACCTACATTCAGCGCCACATTCTGTGCGTAAGAGAATTCTTGCCAAACATCATCAGATGAACCGATTGGTTCACTATAATTATCTTCACTTTCTTCAATATTTTTTTCATTGTTATTAGGAAGAACAACAGATCTTGGCTCCTTGTACAAACCCACCCAATCAGATTTCTCATCCGTATATACTTCTCGGTGAAGATTGACTAGTGTAAATCCATAATGATCCTTTTGCTTTTTTGCAGGACACCACCGAACCTTGAACATCGTGTAAGTACATTGTTTTGGTTTACCAAACCCATAAATTACCTCAACGATATCTTCTAATTGGTCATAATATAATATGTCAGCTAGAATTGGATTCTGATCTCTTATACTTGAAAAACATTCTTGGGCAAACAAGCCCATGACCCCACTATTTTGAGTTACCCTCCTATCATCGGTCTCTAATGTTCGAAATTTATATCCATTCACCAAATGCTCATTATAA